GGAGGACCTAGATAGGCTGACATATAAATGCCATATGGGCCCTGCTGTCTCCCTCACTTCCAGGTCACCAGCATCACACCAAGATAAGCAGGCCAGTCTGACGGAAATAATTAATTAGAAAGCAGGAATGCAAGAATTCATCTTTAAGTGTTTTAGCTCCAAGGTCTGTGACTGCCATTAAACCATGCTTAATAACTCTTATTTTTATTGACAGTTTTATTTATTACTCTGCCTCAATCAAAAAAATATTTGAAATTGCCACTGAACAAATTGAATCCTTCCCTATTAAACCGTGGAACACTCCATTATGCCATGGAAGTCTCTCCTTTGATTCCTACTATTAGCCTTCAGGTATAGGCAGTTTTAGGCTACAAAATCCCTCCTGTGATCTGATCCACCTGGAGTTTGCTGATGTCCTTCATAAAAGAATGGACCTCAGATGGAACACCACGCTGCAGGCTGGCTCTGACCCCGACTGAGCCAGCACTTGGCCTCACCCCATCTGGATTATTTCTGGGTTATGGACCAAGACTGCTGTAGACTTTTTGATAGTAGAATAATATTTATTCTTATTGTTTTATAAAATCTGACTTGTTTTCATTTGTATGGTAATTAAAACATGTTTCTCCTATTTTTATACTTTCTAAAAATATTTTTTCTCCATGTTTACACATTCTTTACATCAGTAGACACAATTACTTTGCTTGAAGGCTGGAGCTATTATCATGCATTTCTGTATTCCTAGCGTTGTGCCCAGTGGATATAAAGAAAATTATTAAGTAATCATTTGACGGAATGACCCACAGTATGATGAGGCTCATTCTGGGGATGATTTGTGATGTAAATATGGGAGATAATCAGGCCATAATTGGAGCTTTGCACTTTCACCCACCATGAGCATTGGGTATGCCTGCAGAGCCTGGGAGTGGAGGGCAGAGCAGTGAATGCTCAATGGGAAGACAGCTGTGATCGAGATTTACACATCAGCACAAAAGCAGAGAGAAAAATGATTGATGAACACATCCATTTCTGTTAGGCAGCTCTTCCTGAAATCTGATATAGGCAAAGTTGTTCTGTCCAGACGAATCAAACCCAGCCTAACCAAAGAAAACGTTGCAGACCTTCTAGGAAGCCCACATGCCATCTCCCTAGGGAAAGCTTGTCCATTTAATAATTAATTGCACTCTTTCCTTTGTGCTCTCATAGTGTGTTGCTTATACTTTTGATAATTGCTCTTTTGTTTTTCCTTGTTTATGTTTTTCTTATGGCTGTATGTACCATTAGACTAAAAGATATTCAAGGCAGAAGATATCTTATTAATTTATGTATCATCCACAATTTGTCTTTTAAAGACTGTTTTTTGTATAGTATGCTTGCAAAAATCTTGACCTCATTAAAAAACTCTCCTTGAATCTGTTCACTGTGTTAATTCTTTCCTATAAGTGACCCTCTAGGATCCCCTGACATGAACATAATTCTTACAATTCCTATAATGATATATTTAAAAGTAGAGAACTAGAGCAACCCCAAAAAAGTCTCAAGTTAAGCCGCCCATTTCTAGTAATAGGACCCAACTGAAAGGAAGCAGGCAGTGGAGACAGAATCAAACTGGGAATTCCCAAGAGAATACCCCACTTTACAAATATCCATTAAGCTGCAATTCAATTAAAGCATCTGAAAGGAATTCATAAGTATCAGCAGACCCTGTAATTGCTTAATTAAGGATAGAAGCCTAGCAAACACACAACCACAATAACAGCCTGATTCATTAGCACCTCTGTGATAGCAGAATGGGATTTCTCACTTAAACATACACTGGCTTTAATTGTGTAATTTAGTTAGGCACTGGTAATCAATGGGGACCCACCATTCCTGGGGCCAGGAGATGAGGAGGATATTCCTGTTCACCTTCCCTCCCTTCCTCTCATTAGAAGTTTTTGGTCTATTAAAATAGGCAGTTGATATTCCAATTAGGATTGGCTAGAGAAGAGGCCTTAAAGAGAAAGAAAGAAATGAAGCACTTTATTCAAAGGCATTCAGGATGGAAGGACACACAGCCAAACCTTTAGTTTACCAAGCACAAAACAACCACCATTTATCAAATCCCAGATACCTAGAACCTTTCCCATTGCTTACAACTCCAGTGGGGAGTTGTAAGATAGGGGAGGGGAGGGAGGCGCAGAGAGGGCAAGAGGGCTGGAGGGCTAGAGGGAGGGAGAGTAGGGGGAGAGAGAGCAGAGAAAAGAGAATAAAATTAAAGAAAAAGAAAAAAGCTGCAGGAAAAGGAAAGTTTTATATTCTAGTCTTATTTCATACAAATAGGTAACTGGTTAATTATAAGTCACCTGCTGTGATCCACATGGGAACCCCCTGCCAAGTGGCTGCTGCCTTCTAAGTGTTTTGTACCATGAGTTTCAAACAAGGTGACTGACATCCATTCCCCAACCCCCTACCTGCCTCAGTCTGTAATTCATCATGCTTATTGCTGTACCACCTTTAAGAATATGAAAATGCAAATGGGTGGATTCACTCAGTGAGTTGGCAAAAGACTTTAAATATCTGATCTAAGACTCTTTAGATCACTTTGCATTGAAATCTCAGATTATTCTCTTCCAATTCAGGAGAAAAGCATTTGGTTTATAGGCACCATACCTTGAGACCTGCTATGCTTATCCAACAGGACAACTTTCTAAACTATGCCCACAGCATGACCCTGATACCAAGAGCTAAGAAGATAATTCCAAATAAGGAAACTTAATAGAAAGGTCATAGTAGTAAGACATACTCCATGCCTACTGGTGCTATTAAATAAAAATGTGAATCAAGGGCCAAGTGATTTCCAAATATGTGACTCAGTCTCCCGTTAGACAAGATACTCAAGTGAAGTCTGACACATATGACAAGTGAAAGTAAACTAAAAATAAAGATTGTGGATGAACTGCTTTTACTTTCATGCAAAGCAATGTATGGGGCTCACTACATGCTAGTTGAGGAAAAAGGAGCTTTTTTAACAAATGCAGGCTGCCCTGCTAACTCAGGACAAGAACTGACTGTGATTACCTGCTAGACTGAAATAAGCATGCATAGGAAGCTGCCACAGCAGCAGGCAGAGAGACCTTGGTCGGTCTCAGCTCTGATGGTGTAAGGTCACCTGCTCGCCAACCAAACCTAAGCCAGGTGCTCGAAGGACCAAAGGGCAAGAGCGCTCAGGAGGCACTGACCTGTTAGCTACAGCTGACTGTCCCCGGCCCCACCTGCTAGCCCATCTGACCACGCAATCACTCCACATACAGGGGTGCAGGAACCGTGACAGATAGGCCAGCTGGCTCAGGCCAAATGCCACTCCCTATCAAGCTGTGGGGCCGTCTGCCCAAAAAAGGCCACACAAAAATGGAAAGTGTCCACTCCACCTTGAAGTACAGAGGGCTCTCCAAAAGGCTGGGATTAATGAGAACAGCACATAAGGGACCGCTCCCAACAATTATCTGGACTTTCCCCTTGAGAGTCACAACCCTAACTCACTCGTTGCTGCAAAGAGACATCATTTCCAGCAGAATGCCATGTGTACATAATGGGGAGTGCATACCACAGGCATCTGCAAAGCTGTACTATGACAATCACCATCCCGGTGAACAATCCCACATGAATACTGACTGTGTCTGTGCCTACACTCAGTTTTAGCTTTGTAGTTCACCTCAGAGGACCAGGGGGCCTTCTCTCACTAAGGCTACTCCCCCAACCCATGTTCTCTGTCCATGCCATTCATTCTGTCTCTTCTAGGTCATTGCTCTATTAATTAGCCCCTACAGCCTTTCCTAGTTTCTTCTCAGAATTCAAACCAGTGCTTCTTAACATTTTTAAATCTTATGTTCCCCATGATATTCTCTCACTCCATCTTTTTTATAACCTCATTTGCCAAGAAGATTTTGTTGAGTTTTACATTCTATAATTGGTATTATGAAAACAATAGGTGTATAGAATAGCTTTTTTGACTATACATGCCACCTTCTTCATTCCTGAATTAAGAATTACAGTTCAAAAAGTACTAAAAATGCTGACATCCTTACAATGTAGTTACCTTGACCCTTTAGCCTTTTTTTTTTTTTTTTTGAGACAGAGTCTTGCTCTGTTGCCTGGGCTAGAGTACAGTGGTATCAGCCTAGTTCATAACAATCCTCCTGCCTCAGCCTCCCGAATAGCTGGGACTACAGGCGAGCACGACCCTACCTGCCTAATTTTTTCTATTTTCTGGTAGTTTCTGGCTATTTTTTTCCATTTTTAGTAGAGACGGGGATCTTGCTCTTGCTCAGGCTGGTCTTGAACTCCAGACTTCAAGTGATCCTCCCTCCTCAGCTCCCAGACCCTTTAGCTTTCACTTTTCTGTACTTTTTTTTTTTTTTTGAGACAGAGTCTCGCTTTGTTGCCCAGGCTAGAGTGAGTGCCGTGGCGTCAGCCTAGCTCACAGCAACCTCAAACTCCTGGGCTTGAGCGATCCTTCTGCCTCAGCCTCCCGGGTAGCTGGGACTACAGGCATGCGCCACCATGCCCGGCTAATTTTTTATATATATATCAGTTGGCCAATTAATTTCTTTCTATTTATAGTAGAGACGGGGTCTCGCTCTTGCTCAGGCTGGTTTTGAACTCCTGACTTTGAGCAATCCGCCCGCCTCGGCCTCCCAAGAGCTAGGATTACAGGCGTGAGCCACAGCGCCCGGCCTTCTGTACTTTTTTAATGTTAGCTATTTGTGAAAAGTGATCTAAATTTCGTAACTCTTTTTTAGCCCCCACATTTACTTCCCAATCTGTAATCTGCCTTTAGTTGACTCAACTTTGGGGAAATTGTACCAACAAAGGTTACCTGTGACTTACTAATTGAAACTAATAAATAATATCACTTCATAATTTTCATATATTTGATCTTTAATGTAAAACCTGACATTGCTGATGCCTCAGAATTTTCTGTTGCCTTGGCTTCCAGAATACTAACTACTCCATGATTCTACTATTCCTCTAATCGTGCCTTCTCTGCCCATATATGAATCCCTAGCCTGCTCCACCCAGGTTGGTGTTTTCCAAGTTGTATACTCCTTGTAAACTTGTCCTCTAGGCACTGAAACAGTTTTAACCACTGGCTCTATGCTGATGACTCCCTGACTTGAATATTGTGTCTGGCTTCTCTGCTGAGCTTCAACATTCCCATGAATATTCCAAAACCAAACCCCAGAGAACTGTTCCTAAAACCTGTTCTTAACTTCTGTGTTGCTCTTGATTTGTGGACATCACCATCTATCTGACTGCTTGAGTCTAGGGCACTTCACCTTCTCCCCGGTACTCAATATCATCTTCAATCCCTGACCAAAAAAGTCCAATCTCCAAATCCTGTCAAGTCTACTTACTACTTGTCCAAATCTCTCCACTTGTCTCCACTGTCAGATTTCAGGCCTTTACTCTCTTGCCTCAACTGTTCTCCCAGACTCCTGCCTCATTTATTCCTATGTACCCACCAGAATGAACTTTCTTAACCCAAGTCTGAGCATGTGACTCCCATGTTTCATACCATCCAGTGACTTAGAGGGTCCACAGCATAATTCAAGGAAGAAAGACTAGCTCCTGAATGTTTAGCTTCCTGCCAACCTCCACCCTCCCCACTCTTTGTACTCCACCAATAGTATGTGGTGGCCCAGAGGCACACATGTGTATCAGACCTCTACACCTCTGTACATGCTGCTACCTTTACCTAGAATGTGCCTCTCCTCCTAGTCCCCTTTCTCAACACAGCACACTCTTGCCCTTCAAAACACAGCTCAGATACCAGCACCTTGGGAGGTGTTCTTTGATCTCTATCTAAATAAATCATCATTCTCTCCTCAGTGCTACTTCCGTATCTTGTCCATAATTCTATTCTTTCATCAAGTGTCTAACACTACCATTTGCTTACATGCCTGTATTCCTTGAAGAGTTCCCTGAGACCTAGAACTGTGTCTTACCTGTGTATTCTTTGTGACAAGGTGTTAGGACAACACAGACTTCCTTGCTCCAAAGTCTCAAAGGGAAAAACCAGGAGCCTTCCTTTCAGTGAGCTTAGTTTGAAGGAGGCTGGCACAATTCCTTACCCTGATTTACTTCCATTAATGGAAAAGTCAAAATCTCCATGGTAGAGCCATAGCTATATGCACACATGGTACACAATCATACCATTCCAAATTGAGAGTCAATGCAAAATCCAGTTATAGAAACACTAATTCTTTGCAAGGGGAAGGAAGCATACTTATTATTTGCTTTATGGTAGGCTTGTTCTAGATTCATCTCATTAAAACCTCCCAACAATCCTGAGAGGCAGGAAATAATTTCCAGTTATAACTAATGTGTAAACTGAGGCTTAAAGAGGGTAAATAACCTCCCTAATGTCACTTATTTATATACAGTACAGCCAGGATTCAAACTGAGATCTGCTTTCTCTTAAGACTTTTCCATATCCTACATCTTTGCTAGACTTCTCAAGAAACCAAAAGATGCATGATATAACAGCATATACTATGGCAGGAGAAAAACGTAAAAGCTTATATTTTTATCATGTATTTGCCTCTGTGTAATCTATCTGTCAGAATGTAAGTTAACTCAGGCAATGCCTTTGGAATTGCTAAGCTGAGAATAACGCCAAGTACATAGAGGAATTGGCTGATGCAGAGTCGAGTGATCAGACTGCTTGTGTCTATGCAAGGTAAAATCAGAAGGATTCCGCAGAAAAACTCCAGCCAAGAGAGGTCTGTGCTCTGAGCTGATTCCACTCAGGTAGTTTTGAGTTTAAATGCCGGAACTTCAATGTTTTCTTTCTTTCCCCTATAGATCTGTGTCCAAGTTTCCCCAGAAAGAATAATACTGTTTCTCTTTTTCATCTCTGGTATAAAGCCCTACACTACTAAAATAATGCTTTTGTTTTTCAGCTACATAGCAGAGAATGAGGTGAATATATACAGGCATACCTCAGAGATATTGCAGGTTCAGTTCCAGACCACTGCAGCAAAGTGAGTATGTGAAAAAGCGAGTCACAAGAATTTTTTTAGTTTCTCAGTACATGGTAAAAGTATACAATATACTATAGTCTATTAGGTGTGCAATAGCATTATGTCTAAAAAACAATGGGCATACCCTATTTAAAAAATACTTTATTGCTGAAAATACTAACAATCATTGGAGCCTTCAGCAGAGGACAGTAATCTTGCTAGTGGAGCAATCTTGCCTCAATGTTGAAGGCTACTGACTGATCATGGTGGTGGTTGCTGGTAGACAGAATAGCTATGGCAATTTCTTAAAATAATACAACAATGAAGTTTGCTGCACTGATTGACTCTTCTTTTCATTAAAGATTTCTCTGTAGCATGCAATGCTGTTTCATAGCATTTTGCCCACAGTAGAATTACTTTCAAAATTGGAGTAAATCCTCTCAAACCTCTGCCTGCTGCTTTATCAACTAAGCTTATGTAATATGTAATAAAGGCCAACAAAATCCTTTGTTGTCATTTCAACAATGTTCACAGCATGTTCACCAGGAGTTGATTCCATCTCAAGAAATCACTTTCTCTCCTCATCCATAAGAAGCAACTCATCTGTTCAAGTTTTATCATGAGATTGCAGCAATTCACTAACATCTTCAGGCTCCACTTCTAATTCTAGTCCTCTTGCTATTTCTACCGCATCTGCAGTTCTTTTCCACTGAAGTCTTGAAACCCTCTTCAAAGTCATCCTTCAAGGTGGGAATCAACTTCCTCTAAACTTTTGTTAAGGTTGGTATTTTGACCTCCTCCCATGAATCACAAATGTTCTTTATGGCATCTAGAATGGTGACTCCTTTCTAGGAGGCTTTCAATTTATTTAACATCAGTATAATCGCTATCCACAGAAGCTATAGCCCTGTGAAATATATTTTTTAAATACTAAGACATGAAAGGCAAAATTACTCCTTGATCCATGGGCTACAGAATGGATACTGTGTTAGCAGGCATGAAAATAACATTTATCTCCTTGGACATCTCCATCAGAGCTCTTGTGTTACCAGTTGCACTGTCAGTGAGCAGTAATATCTTAAAAGAGATCTTTCTAAGCAATAGGTCTCAACCGTGGACTTAAAACATTCCATAAACCATGCTGTAAACCGATGTGCTATCATCCAGACTTTGTTTTATTTTATAAGCACAGGCAGAATAGGTTTAGCATCATTCTTTTTTTTTTTTTTTACTTCAAAGTATTATGGAGTACAAATAATTTTGGTTACATGAATCGTTTTTATAATGCTTGAGTCATAGTTATAAGAGTGCCTGTCACCCAGATTGTGTTTGTTGTATCCATTAGGTAAGTTTTTGCCTGTCCTCTTCTCCCACCTCTTCTCTGGTTGATTTCCATGGAATTTGACTTCCCTCTACACACGTGTGCTCAGTGGTTAGTTCCAATTTAGTAGTGAGTACATGTGGTATTTTTTTCCCCATTCTTTAGATACTTCATGTAGGAGAATGTTCTCTAGTTCGATTCAGATTGTTGCAAAGGCATTAAGTCATCCTTCTTTATGGCTGAGTAGTATTTTATCGTGTACACATATCACATTTTGTTAATCCATTCATGAATTGATGGGCATTTGGGTTGATTCCACATCTTTGCAACTGAGAATTGTGCTGGGGTAAACATTCGCATGCAGATGTCTTTTTGATAAAATGACTTCTTTTCCTTTGGGGTAAAGACTCAGTAGTGGGATTGCTAGATCAAATGGTGGCTTGACTTTTAGTTCTTTGAGGAATCTCCATACTGTTTTCCATAGAGGTTGTACTAATTTGCAGTCCCACCAACTGTGTATAAGCATTCCTTTCTCTCTGCATCCACACCAGCATCTATTGTTTTTGGGCTTTTTAATAAAGGCCATTCTAACTGCGGTAAGGTGATATCTCATTGTAGTTTTAATTTGTATTTCCCTGATTAGTGACATTAAGCATTTTTAAATATATTTATTGGCCATTTGTCTATCTTCTTTTGAAAAGCTTCTGTTCATATCTTTTGTCCACTTTTAATGGTGTTTGATTTTTTCTCGCTGATTTGCTTGAGTTCTTTGTAGATTCTGATTAATAGTTATTTCTTGGATATATAGCTTGAGAATATTTTTTCTCATTCTGTAGGTTGTTTATTTGCTCTGTTAATTATTTCCTTGGCTGTGCAGAAGCTTTTTAATTTAATCAAGTCCCATGTATTTATTTATTTTTGTTGTTGCTGTGATTACCATTGGGGTCTTCTTCATAAATTCTTTGTCTAGGCGTATACCTAGAAGTTTTTCCACCATTTTCCTCTAGAATTCTTATGGTTTCATGCCTTACATTTAAGTCCTTTATCCATCTTGAATTAATTTTTGTGAGTGGTGAAAGATATGGATCCTGTTTCATTCTTCTGCATGTGGCTATCCAATTTTTCAGCATCATTTATTGATTCTTTCCCCCCGTGTATATTGTTGTCTGCTTTGTCAAAGATCAGTTGGCTATACGCAGATGATTTTATAGCTGGGTCTTCTGTTCTGTTCCACTGGTCTATGTCTCTATTTTTGTGCCAATATCATGCTGATTTAGTTACTATAGCCTTGTAGCATAGTTCAAAGTCTGATAATGTGACAGCATCATTCTTAAGGACCCTAGGATTTTCAGAGTGCTCAATGGGTACCCACTTCAACTGAAGGTCACCAGCTGTATCATCTCCTAAGAAGAGAGTCAGCCTGTCCTTTGAAGCCAGGCATTGGTATGAATATCTATGAATATCCTAGATGACATCTACTTCCAACAGAAGGCTGTTTTGTCTACATTGAAAATCTGAGTTTAGTGTAGCCACCTTCATCAATGATCTCAGCTAGATCTTCTGTATATCTTGTTGCAGCTTCTACATCGGCACTTGCTAATTCACCTTGCACTTTTATGTAATAGAGATGGCTTCTTTCCTTAAACCTCATGAATCAACCTCTGTTAGCTTTGAACTCCTTATTCATCTCTCTGAGCCTTCATAAAATTAAAGAGAGTTAGGACCTTGCTCTGGATTAGGCTTTGGCTTAAAGCAATGTTGTGGCTGGTTTGATCTTCTAGCCAGACCACTCAAACTTTCTCCATATCAGCAATAATGCTGTTTTGCTTTCTTTTTTTCTTTTAAGATGGAGTCTCACTAAGTTGTCCAGGCTCACACAATCCTCCCATTGCAGCCTCTCTCAAGTAGCTGGGATAACAGACATGCACCACAACACCAGGCTTTGTTTTGCTTTCTGATAAGTGCGCATTGCTTGGTTGGTGGAGCAGTTAGAACACACACAACATTTATTAATTAGGTTTGCCATGTTATATGGCTGTGGTTCGTGGTGCCCCAAAACAATAGTAACATCAAAGATCACTGATTACAGATCCCTGTAACAGATACAATAATAATAAAGTTTGAAATACTATAAGAATTACCAAAATATAACACAGAGACATGAAGTGTGTACATACTGCTGGAAAAATCATACCAACAGACTTTACTGACATAGGGTGTGTGACAACCTTCTATTTGTAAAACACAGTATCTGCAAAGTACAATACAACAAGATATGCTGTATATCAAACTATGTAATAAGAATTCACTGCTAAGAAACTTCTCAGGTACAGAAACCTTAGGAAAAAGGCACAAAAGTCTCCATGAAAGAACTCTCTCCCACACTGCCATGCTATCCCTTGGTTTTACTACAACTTACATGTGCAGAAACAAAAGCACAGCCTTCCAATAAGGAGAGGATTTGTTGTGGTCCTTCTTTTCAATAGCTGTCCCCGAGCTTGCTGTCACACTTCAATTAGTCTCTTCAGAAAGCTTGTAGAGCTGCGTAGTGATCAAGTTCATAAGAGTGTGCAAGAGAGCCTCAATGAGAAGTGACAGCCAAGCAGCAGCAGCAAGCTTCACGGTCATGTATTCAGGGAGTGATTTATCTCACATAACTCAATCCATTTAGTTGGGGCCAGAGGGAGACCCTTATCCAGACAAGAAACTACCGGTGCCTTCTAGGAAAAGGAGACCAAGGCAATCTGGCAGGAGACAGCAAGCATGGCTCCCGTTTCTCTTTCTCCATAGCAAACTCTATTCAGGAATTCAACGCAAGTGCTGAGTCAACAGAAAAGGCAATGTGCATCTGGGGACCACAATGGAATATGTCCTTTGTGAGTGAATGAATGTTTGTGTGTGCAGGGCTAAGCTGGGGAGTGTGGAAGTGAAATGACAGCTTCCCCTCAAAGACCACAGTTTTTGCGAAGTACTGAGTAGAAATAAATAACTGTTATTTGCCAGCAGCGAAGAAATGAAACAGTTTCTTCCTTGAATGCATAAATGTAAATTGCTCAAAGAGCACAGTGCATACACAGCCTTGCTGGCTTGTGAAATATTAAACTACCAGAAAAGATAGGATAGAGAGATGTACATTTAGTCAGCAAAGAAAGGAACAAGGCTTGCCTTGGCATATCAACCTTAGTGCAACTAGAAATATTACAGACGTAGGAGCCTGTGAAAGTAATGTCATGGCTGGGATCTCATAAAGGATTGAGATCCTAATGGCATTTGAAAAGAATAAAACAGAGAGCTATGGTACTGCCTACAGAGCTACAAGGGCAGGTTTCCTCAGCTTCTCTGAGGCCTGCCCATGACTATCATGGCAGGAATGGTCGATCTCAAGTGAATAATGCCAAGTCTGAGAATTCCATCATTGAGATTTTCCTAAGTCTGGAGTTCCCTTTGCTTGAGCTATATGAGGTAATGTGCTGCCCTTTAAGCTGCTCTATTTCTTCATTCTGTACTTGGTGAAAATGAGGAGAGGGAAGAGGGTGCACCGCTGGGTCTGCAGCAACAGTGGGCTCCAATCTACAAATTGTGTGTTCATATCCCAGCTAGAGAGGAAAGCATCTCATTGGGCCCTAGAGCCTATCTAGAACACAGGAAAGGAGGTGTGTGGAATGACTTCTGAGCTCCAGGAAGAATGTTTAGAGTAGCA